TTTCATCCGGCACAGTGTTGATAGTGTCGCTTGTTGATCCAATCGTTCCATGGGGTTTATTCAAGTGAAGCTCATTGTTATCTTTGATGAGGCGATTTGTGGAGACTGTTACATAGACCCCTCCATGACAACCAATACTAACCGACCATCTTGAAAAATAACCTTGGCTGGGCCCAACCATTTGTCATGACCTTCTCGTTTGTAAAATACAATCTGTCCTGGATCAAAATGTTCTTCAGTGGTGTGTATTCGGTGACGCAAGGCACGTCTAATTCATTCATCAGAATAACACTTTATGAAAGCTTGTCTGGAAGATGCAAGTGCCTTTAAATGCTTGAGCAGGGTTTCACTTGGGGTGCAACCTTTTAGATATGGAAGTTTACCAGTCATAATATTTGGTAGAAATGGATTTTTACCAAGCACTATTTGAAAACTACTAAAGCCATTCCACATTTGTAATGAATTTTTAGCCATGTTCACCCATGCTAAAAGGGTTTCCAAAATTGTGTCTGGGTTCTCTTCACAAAGTATTCCAACATTCTATCAGTCACATGATGATTACGTTCACATATGCCTGTACCATTTGACCAAGGACTATAAACGGGAGTAGTACAAATTTTCACATCTAAAATACTGGCTTGACCAATCAAATTGCTTATCGATCCTTAGCCTAAGCAGAAAATTCTCATCATCAAACTTAGTTAGGGTAATGACATAATGAATCTATAGTCAGAGTTTCATCACTCTCACTTAATTAAAACCAAAGTTATTGGCCCCAAAGCATCAACCAATCAGATTGCTTATATCTGCTTACCGTAAGCAGACGATATTTATCATCGAACTCCATCATTGCATTCACCTAATGAACGCCTACACCAAGTTTGAACATTCTACCTCAAATAGAAGGAGAATTATAGTGTTCCAAAGTCTCAACCAATCAAATTGCTTATCACTCTGCTTACCCTAAGCAGAAAATGCTTATTATGGTACTAATTCAAGGTATTGATGTGATAAAACTATACACCAAATTTCATCACTCTCCCTTAATTAGAACTAAAGTTATCATGTCCTAAAGCATCAACCAATCAAATTGCTTATCTCTGCTTAACCTAAGCAGAAAATGCTCATCTTCGATCTCCATCAAGGCATTGACCTAATAAACACCTACACCGAGTTCTAGCTCAATTAGAAGCATTGTGTTACAAAGTCTCAGCCAATCAAATTGCTTATCGCTCTGCTTACCCTGAGCAGAAAATTCTCATTATCGAACTTAGTCATGGTATTAATGTAATAAAACTATACACCAAATTTCATCACTCTCACTTAATTAGAACTAAAGTTATCCTGTCCCAATGCATCAACCAATCAAATTGCTTATCTCTGCTTACCCTAAGCAGAAAATGCTCATCTTCGAACTCCATCAAGGCATTGACCTAATTAACACCTACACCAAGTTTAAACATTCTAGCTCAATTAGAAGGAGAGTTATCATGTCCAAAAAAGTGTGACGGACAGACAGACGGACGGACGGACAGACAGACCCATTTTAATAGTCCCTGCTTTCTTTGAAAGGCAGGGGACAACAAACAAAGGAATATTAGAGTCCACCACATCAGTTTCACTTGTCACACTTCGACCAGTAAGGATACAAGGTAAGTGAATACATTTTAATGATTGCAAACATTCACCTCCACCACATTTAAAAGTTTTCTTCCAGGAAATTCCTTTATGTTTTGTAACAGTGAGGTACTGAGGAAATTAACGAGCCATTGTTTTCCACATACAGTACTTGAACATGCTGTATCCAACACTGCACTATGCTGAGATTCTTTCCCAAGTTGATTAAATTCAGATTTATTATAGCTGGTATATATAATAACATTTTCAGCAGCACAATATATTTCATTTTCTGTAGTAGAAATGTCTCTTGTACTGCCATAACCCTGATTATTAGTGTTTTCTCAACTATAGGCACAGTCATTTACCAAATGTCTGTATAATCCACATGCATGACATGTCAATGTACATCCTGAATAGGACTTCGGATTTAATGGTCGAACACCATTGCTGGGGAATGCTCTGCCTCTAAAACTACTTTTAGGCCTTCCTCTTGAACGAAATGGAGAAATTGGACACATGGTTTTGTAAACCTCTTCCACCACGATATGAGCCTTGATTACTACGAAAATACCCAGCAGAGGCAAGTACCTCTTCATTGTCAGCAAGGGAAGTTTTGGGGCCTATATTTCCAAGTTCAAAGCCTTTGAACTTTTTAAAGGATACTTTGTAGCACCATGGGCCTTTTGTCAGATGTGGAGAGGGGGGGAACCAAATCCAGTCTCCACATCCTACGTATGACCCATGCATCTTTTCTTACTACATATCTTAGTAGCCTTGCAGCAATCACGCTGAGTGCATGCGCCTGGCACTATTTTTTGCTGCCCAGCACAAAGAAAAAATCGAAGAAAGACGCCCGGTCGTATTTAAACCCCTTCGTTCTTCTCTGTACACAAAAACAGCGCTCGAAATTTACCACTGCAAATGTCAATTTACGACACTCCAGTGTTAAAGGTTTGGATGTCGTAAATGGTGTCGTAATTCGTGAGACACAAGCCAAATAAAACAATGTGTTTTAATTATTAATATCTACCTGTTGTCATAATTCGTTGTACTCAAATAAAACACAAACACTGTTTTAAGAATCGTTAAAATTTGTAATCTCAAAGTAATAAAGTAATATTTGAAAAAAAAAAAGAAAAAAAAAAAAAGAGAAACAGATGGGGTGGTGTAGGTCGGTTGGTGTCAAAAAGTTTTTAGATCCCTGGCATGAAAATTAAGTGATTTGGTAAAAATTTCAATATATAAATGGAAATTTGATTTGCACTGAAGCAAATACAAAAGGCAGCAGATGCTCTGAAAATACACCAAGAAGGGTTGAATTTTCATAAAAGACCACGCCCCCCCTCCAAAAATTTTTTTTTCTCACTTCGCTCGGAAGCTATTTTTTCCACCACTAAGCAAATCATCTAGTATTTGTCTCTGTTTGTCTTTGCTTCCCCTTCACGTTGTGTATTTACTTCTTACTGTCTGTTGATAGAAATTGCTACATCTTTTCTCTTCCAGAATCTGTCTGCTGTCTAGGAACTCAGATGGTAATCACTCCGGAATCCAATGAAATATGGCTTAAAAGTTTGCCATGATTTCTTTTTTATATACCCATCTGTCACTCATATTTTAGTGCACATTTAGTACAATTAATTAATACAATGCCATCATTAATTATAAGAGCAAAAATTCTAGCAAAAGTCTCATAAAGAGTGTTTTTTTGGTCATAGTTCATTCCAGTTAGAACAAGTATTCTTTCATCTTTGTTAAACATACATTATGCAAGAGCTAAATCTGCCTATTGCAGGTTGTATTTCATCGCCAAGTAGTTCTTCGTCACACAATAATTTAGCACGTCAAAAATACTTATAATTGCTGTTTTGACTTTGTTTGGATGGTTTGAACTGTTATATATATATTGGTCTGTGTGGGTCGGCTTACGATAAACAGTGGTTTTTAGATTATCAGTAGAGTTGTTCACCAATATGTCTAGAAAAGGTAGCTGGTTGTCATTTTCTAGTTCTACTGTAAATTTCATGCGAGGGTGGGCACCGTTAAGATGATCAAGAAGGTGCCGAGGATTCTTACTTAGTTCCATGATGTAGAATGTCCACAAACATATTGTGGATGGATGACGGACGTCCAGACGGACAGGGGCGACGGCATAATACGTCCACATGAAAATGTGGGCGTATAAAAAAATTCCATGGTCTTGGCGAAAAGGTTTAATTTTTCCATTGAACATACATGCAGATAATATGGATCAATGGCCGCAACCTTGACATTCACCCTACATTCTGTCAACCAGCTTCAATTCTCAATAGCTACAAATTTTTAATAAACTTCAATGCTAGACGTAAATCCACTGCCTGTGCTAGACCCTTTTTTGAGGAAAAAAGGGAGGTTGGAACTGAATGCCAAGCAGTACTTTTATGAAAAATCTTTTTGTCTGTTGGGATGGGTATGAGGTTGGGCTAAGAGGAAAAAATAGAATTTTGGAAATTTGCACAATAATGTAGTCACATGACGTCACGGCGGCCATTTTGGACTTCTCATTTCTCACTAAAGCTAACACGAAAACGATTTTTTTTTTCTCCATGAAATACTTATGAGATATTGTTTTTTTCACTGGATTTTGATAAAGATATATAAAATGAACCAAAAATATCAATAGCAGTCATGAGCAATGCCACCACGAACACGCGCATCACGTCTCCCGCTACCATGACCACGTGCGGATTGCCATACCTTGTTTTTACTTTCACTTTCATCCCCAAGTCCCATATCATTATCAATATAGTCAGTCAATAGATCTACACGTTCGGGACTCAGGAATTGCCTACGTCTTTTACGATCCAGCAGGCCAGCATTATTTTTAACATCAGAATTATTGTCAGAATCTACTGCAGACACAGGGCTATCGTGTTCACATTGGGCTTGTTCATCATGCACGGGAGACATAGCTAGCCATGGGCGGAACGTCGCGCAACAAATCACACACTTCATAATACCAATCACTGTCCTGACTACTATCATTATCAAGTAACTGGAAACGAATTATGTGTATCACCCGCCTCGAAATTGTCTACGTGTTGGTCAGCAAGACGTCATTCACGACTTCGTCGAGAGTGCATCATCTACGTTGTCACTATGCACTCCGCCATTTTACGGTTTGCCGCTTTGAAACACGTGGAAATATGTTCTAGTGTATAGAAAATACAATAGATGGCACTTGCAGTTACGGTACTAATTTTAGCGAGGGCTTTACTGAGTACTCGGTAATCCAGGGTACTCGCATTTTACAGACATTTTATAATACCCGGTACTACCGGGTATACGCAGTGAAAGGGTTAAACCTGGGAGCATAAAAGGAAATAACAATACAAAGTGCTTACTATATACTGTGGGGTTTTGGCCTCTGATTTTTAATGCACCTACTACCATTGATAGATCAGTCTGATTTTCTTCAGGCATTGTAGGTAAAAATGCTCTCTGAAAAAAATTTGAAGGTATTAAAAGTTCACAGATCAAGACCTGAAAGTTAAAGAGCACGTAAAATAGCCGAACAAAATTTGATGTACTATAGCCAGTGGTTACTATATATAACTTTACAGCAAATTCACACCAATCTAATTAAAATTAATTGAGCCATTTTGACTCAAAGTTGCAAATATAGACCTACCTTAAAAACAACTTTGCTAATCATCGTAAATAATTTACAAAAGCATCCCACCCTTTTCGTAATACTTCGTACTTGGGAAATTTATGAAGAAAGGAGCAGTATCTGCCTTTGTAAGACTAACACAATTAATTCTAAGTCACACAATTAATGATAATGTGGCATTAGCACAATTAGCATAAAATATCATAATCCAGTAACAAGTTATAATCTATAACAAAATTAGACCAGAGAGTCCTGTTGTTAGCAACACTTCTACCATATACAGATTTTTTTTTTTTTTTAATAACTTAGGTACTGATTAGTACCGTTAGCATGTAAATTGAAGCGTGTCGTCAATCCACATCAGCTTGTGTATTCAGTGATAAGATGTGTAGTCCCTGTGACTCCACACATCAATCAACCGGATTAAGGCTGTAATCGAAGCGTTGTAGAGGTCATATATCGAATAATTTTAATCAGATTGGTGTGCAATTGGCTATGGTGTTAATAATAAATACGATTTTGATATGACCAATTATATGCTCTTTAATCTACAAATCAATAGCTTGTATTTTTAGGGCTCTAAAGATAAGCCAGCAGAGCCTCAAAGTTGGTTGTTTTCAAACAAAGATATCGCAACATTAGGGCTGCAACGAATCATCGATAAATCAATGAACCATGATATTTTAAAAATCCACGATGCACAATACAAAAATAGACTGATATTCTTTTAAATGCGTAAATAAGTCCATGAGCAAAATAACTTTTTTACTTTCAGCGAGTGTTAAGGCATTTTCGACACATGAAGTGGCTTATTATAGCAGTTTTGTCAAGATCAAAATATCAGTTTGGTTAAGCGAGTCATGCTGAAAATTAAGTTGCATACTTGAATAATATACCTAAAAAAAAGAACATATTAATATATAAATATACGTCCGTAATATGCGATTTGGGATAATATTACTGTATAAGAATGGCGGTTTGTACATACTGCATACATTGATCAGCACATTTTCAATGTATATTAATATTTGATATTAAAATCTTCCTAACGTTTTTTCATTTGCTGTTCCGTAATCTGTGACTGACCTGACAACGAGAAAGCTTTTCATTGGCTGAAATTGTTGTGGCAATACGAGCCAGCGAGCTGAAATTTTTTCATGATGAATTCACCAAATATTGGGAATGAAATCCCCCATACCAAGTATATAAGTCACAAGTAAAGTATGGGAGTTTTTAGGATTTCCTGTTAAGCATGACAGCAATGAAATCCGGTCAGTTGACCGAGAAAACACAACATTTAAAGTAAATCACTGTAACAGGAGGGGCCTTAAGGTGTGACACCATAAAAAGTCATGGGGATTTAAGTGCTATTTATTAAGACCTCCTGTTGGTTAATTCCAAAGACCCAGAGTTTCGTATGCTGGATGGCTACGCTTGTCTGCTAAGAGGCATTAAGGCAAATGAAATAAACACTGTATTCAATTTATTTTTCATTTATCATGAGAGTCTACAAATCAACATATGTATAATAACAAAATAAAAGAGTGGAAGATGAGCATTTAACCTATGTATATGGGACTAATGTAAGAATAAGGGGTGAATTTCAATGAGCACAATGATGACCCGAGCTAGATGGGAACAAACAGAATTGTTTGTCGAGGCAAAGACATCATCTCATGTCCTAAAACCCACACAAAATAATTAAAGAGACGGCAAGTGTCTCTATCAAATGAATAAACTACGAAAATGCGAAATTGCCAATAATCCTTTACTGGATTAAATCATAAATTAAAATAAACTCCGCCAACGCGAAGCGTTCTATTTACAAGTTTTCGACCACAAGAGATCCAATGATCAAGACCATTTTATACATTCACATCAAATTATTGTGAATAAAATTACATTGGCTACATTAGCCAGTAAATTTAACGTGTGACAAAAATCATGTCCTTTAAATAACACTCAAGAATTAATTTGGCAGTAGCCTACAGTCATCAAGCCCGTTAGCTCATTTTTAAAGCCTTACTTGCCAACAACTATTGGTTTAGTTAGCTCTGTAAGTGAGCCTTACATTTACAAAGATCAGGGTAGCTCTCCCGTGATGATCGTCTCGTAAAATGACAGCACTTATATACCATCTGCATGCACGTGCAGAATCAACGACACCAAGGGGCAAAATCATACAGGTGCTGTTTGGCCGTACGAGAGAATGTTTGTTTATAATTCCTAAAAATTCGGAGGATTATTCAATGACTTCCGTTGTTTGGGACGGCGAACCGGAAGTGTCATTTGTAAACACGTTAATGCTCATCTACTGGACCAAACATAAAATAAATAATGGATATAACTGTAAACAAAAACTAAGCATAAATGGTGTGTAGGGACTAACCATCCACATCACAAAAGTAGGCATTCGAATTTTCACAGTGAAAGACTGTCAAAATTTAACAGCATTTTTAAAATTAATTTCCTATATCGCGATATTAATCGTATCGTAGACTATGAATCGTGATGCATTGTATCGTGGCCTGGCGTATCGTTGCAGCCCTACTCAACATGAACTAGTTATATAAGTTTGCAATTAAAGTGATAAAAACCTGAGTTAACTGTTGTGTCGGGCAAATATTTAATCAGTGAATCGAAAAAAGGATATGATAAAAACCCATGTATATTACGCCACCATATATAACACACACACCCTATCTGATCCACAGAATTCCGGAACCAGCGGCTGCCAGGCAGATACGCCCACATTTTGCAAGCTTAACAAAAAGTGATTTTTCGTACAATTAAGGACCACAATTCAGAAAGTTACAATCCGATATGCACGAATATCGACAGGAACCAAGATCTTTGGGATATAAAGATATATACTCTTCAAAAAAAGTAGGGGATATTCAGAAACAAAACAAAACTGCGGAAATGCACTGATGTTTTTATTAGAGGTAACCAGTGTATGGTAATAACATATCAATTGCCTACACATGAACATAAACAGTTCATATGGGCGGCTTATCTGACTGCCCCATCTCACTTGCAAAGATATACACTGTCAAAAGTGAAAATGGAATTTTTTAATTTTTGTCTTAATAATGAGTAATTGTTTTACCAATCCTCAGACATTCAGCAATTCGTCATGGCATGCTCCTAATCAACCGTCCAATCACGATTTGGGACAATCTGACCCACTCCTCTTGCAGTGCCACGGCCAATTCTTGCAGTGTTGTCGGTTGACGTTCACGTCGACGAACACGTCTCCCGATCAAATTAAACGTAATACACTAAAGCAAAGATACGCTAAACAGTAAATCTTATACAAGAACTGATAGGAAAGCAAAAATGGATAGATAAACCAGCACGCGGCAGTTTTCATCAACCCTTCCTTGAAGTGTCAAATTTGACAATGAACCCCTCCCACGTGTATGGCGATAAGTTCTTCATCTGTGAACATACTCTCAAAGCATGTCAAGTGTCCATGACTTTTTATAATATCACAACCTGCATAGGTATTTGCATTTCAATATCCCCTACTATTTTTGAAGAGTATATTTACACTATTTGCGTACGGGGGGCGACAGTTTTGGGCCTACTTTCTCAAAGTTCGAACTCGGTCGTTATTATGGTGTAACGGTGATATAATCAAACGTGAATTTTCATACAATCATGCAAGGGCCGTAATTCAGGAAGTTAACATCCGATATGCATGAATATCAAAAGGAACCAAGATCTTTGGGTTATTAACATGTATTTCTAGTTTTCATTAAAATCGGATCAAAATTGTGACTTCTAGTGGGTCCACAACCTTGATATACCATATTTTTACACTATTTGCGTACAAGGGGCGGCCATTTTGTCCGTCAGTTTAGGTCCGATTTTCACGAAATTCGAGAGAGAGAGAGAGAAATGGGGTTTAACGTCCACTCGACACAAACTAGGTCATTTCGTGACTAACATATGGTTTAATTTTTTTTACATAATTCGCTTGCGCGTAGGGGTCTTTAGCAGTGGGAGGAAACCGGAGGAGACGGAGAAAACCCACGAGGTTGGACAGGCAACCCTACTCCTTGCCACGTACAACCGGGGATTCGAAACCACGCCAGTCGACTCAATGACAGACTTTATGATACAGCGCGCGCACGCTAACCATTCAGCCATCCATCAAATTTGTTCTTTTTAAATCAGATAATAATTGTAACCTTTAGAGGGACCACATGCTAAAAATGCAATTTTTTGTAAATCAGGGGCAGTAATTCAGGAAGTTAAGATTCAATATGCGCAAATATCGAAAAGAACCAAGATCTTAGGGTTATAAACATGTATTTCAAGTTTCATCAAAATCAGATCAACATTGTGACCTATAGAGGGTCCACAACCTTGATATATCACACTATTTAAGTACGAGGGGCAGCCATTTTGTCCATCAGTTTTGGTACGATTTTCACGAAATTCAAACCCAACCTACAATACGGTGTAACAGTTTTTTTTAAATCGGATAATAATTGTGACCTCTAGAGGAACCACAAGCTAAAAATGCGATTTTTTGTACAATCAGGGGCCATAAATTAGGAAGTTATTGTCCGATATACTCAAATATCGAAAGGAACCAAGATCTTTTTGATATAAACATAAATGTAAAGTTTCATCAAAATCGGATCAAAATTGTTACCTCTAGAGGGTCCACAAAGATATGACATACTCTTACAATATTTGCATTCGAGGAGCAGAAATTTTGTCCAACAGTTTTGGTCCGATTTTCACGAAATTCAAACTCAACCCTCATTATGGTGTGTGTAATGGTTATAATTATATTAAAACCGTTTTCTAAATCGGATAAAAATTGTGACATCTAGTGGGACCACAGGCTAAAAGGTGATTTTTTCATAAAATCAGGGGCCATAATCGAGGAAGTTACGGTCCGACATGCACAAATATCGAAAGGAACCGAGATTTTTGGATTATAAACAGACATTTAAGTTTCATCAAAGTTGGATAAAAATTGCGACCTGTACAATGTCGTAAAATATGGGGCCATAATCCATGAAGTTACAGTCCGATAGATGCCACTTTCACGGATGGACACACAGACGGACAGGGACGACATGAAAATGTAGGCGTTTAAAAATTGTGACCACTAGCTGAAAGCGTGATTTTTCGTACAATCAGGGGCCATAATCCAGGAAATCCTGGTTCGATATGCATTAATAACCACAGGAACTGAGATTTTTAGGTTATAAACATCCATTTCAAGTTTCTTTAAAATCGGATACAAATTGTGACCTCCAGAGTGTCCACAAGCTAAAAACATGATTTTTTGTACAATCAGGGGCCATAAGTTACTGTTCGATACATGCCAAGATCGAAAGGAACTAAGATCATTGAGAGATAAACCTATATTTCAAGTTTCATCAAAATCGAATAAAAATTGTGACCTGTAGACTGTCACCAAACAAATTCTAACAGACGGAAAGGGGCGACCACAATATACGTCCACATAAAAATGTGGGCGTATAAAAAATGTCAGTCAGAGTCCCTATGGTTTTCATTCAAAGTATCCAAAAATGAAAACCTGACGAAGATCTGTTGACAAATAACCGAGATATGGGCAATCTGAGATTATTTTTTGTCCCATCCGCAAAACACTTTATGTTTGTCAAAAATGACACAATTTATATTTAATAAATAGTTCCGCAGAGGCCAACAATTTCTACGTTGGCAGAATGTTTGCACCATATTCAGTTTTGCCTGCAACTTCTGACTAAAATCCAACAAAAAAAAATAAAAAAAATAAAAACTTTTACAAAAACAGTACGTGTTTCGTATCGAAGGTACCGAAACACGCAATAATTATGCATCAAAAAAACTTGTACATACCTGCATACTACTAGAATTCATAATTAAGGCGTTCAAAGGTTGTAATAATCCATCTTTAGATGTAACATTTAAAATCAATAACCAGTGACAGAGCAAAGTCTCTAGATTTATTGATTCTAAAGGATTTTCAGCAATAACACCTACAAATGGGTTCTTCTGCTTTGCTTGTGTTGATAAAATAGCCAGTGCTACATTCTGAAATTGGAATACACAAGATGTACATACTAGCTGTTTTATTTCTCTTTAGTACACCATTGAGAAAGATACATAAGCCCACAGCAGCTATATTATCCAGGTAGTCCACAAAGGTTGCTGCATATTTATCTTTTGTTGGCAATGGGAGCATTTACATTGATTAAGAGTAACAACCCAATAATGAAAATTGCTAACAATTACTGTACAAAACATGTACTGGTAATACGATGGTAACTTTAGCTGTACAAGTTATCGGAAACTATTGAAAATCAATAGACAACTTTATCTCATGAACATAGACACTGTGTACAAATTTAAAGTCAATACGATGATAACAGTGGCCTATAGAGTATCCATAATTATCGGAAATTGTTGAAGAGCATTTGTGGATGAAGGACCTCAGACAGAGGTAACAACAATGATGACATAATTATAGCACACCAACAGTAAGGCTGATGTCCCCCCCCAAGCAGAAAATTCTATTCATCAAACTTAGTCAATGTATTGATATAATGAATTTATACTCAGAGTTTCAGCGCTCTCACCCAATAATAACCAAGGTTATCGTGTTCCAAAGTCTCAACCAATCAAATTGTTTATCTCTGCTTAGCCTTAGTGGAATATGCGCATGATCAAATTCTGTCAAAGCATTCACTTATAATAGACACCTACACCAATTTTGAACATTCTACCTCAATTATAAGGAAAGTTATTGTGTTCCAAAGTCGCGGCCAATCAGATTGAAGTCTCTACTTTGCCTAAGTAGAAAATGCTCAGCTTCAAACTTTGTTAAGGTATTGATGTAATAAAACTATACAAAAAGTTTCACCACTATCACTATATTAGAATCAAAGTTGTCGAGCTCCAAAGTCTCACCAACCAAATTGCTTATCTATTCGAAGGAGAGTTATTGTTTTCCAAGGTCTTGACCAATCAAATTGCTTATCGCTCTACTTACCCTGAGCAGAAAATGGTTATTATCGAAATTAGTCAAGGTACTGATATAATGAAACAATACACCAAGTTTCACAACTCTCACTTAATTAGAACTAAAGTTATTGTGTCCCAAAGCATCAACCAATAAAATTGCTTATCTCTGCTTACCCCAAGCAGAAAATGCTCATCTTCAAACTCTATCAAGCCATTCACCTAATAAGCATCTACACCAAGTTGGAACATTCTAGCTCAATTAGAAGGAAACTTATTGTGTCCCCAAAAGTGTGACGGACGGAAAGGCACAGGACAAAAAAAACACCAACTTTTTAAGAGATTTGTTGTATGGTTGTTTGTTGTATGGTTGTCAAACAACAGACAAAATATCTATACTCACCTTTAATTTAAATTCAGTATTGCCTTCTATGAATTTCTCAAGCTTTAGTTTTGTTTCCTAAAATAAACAACACTAGCATCGTTCAGTCAGCTTTTTAACGAGTTACTGTAACATCCTGGACTTGATCATCCTTGTGAACCTCTTAACAAGTCTATCTCCATTATAGAACAGTGTGGAAACTAAAGGATGTGGGGGGGGGGGGCAAGTTCTGTGCAATTTGATGCAACTGAGAGTTGCATGAAAAAGGTGACATAAGCATTCTTGTAATCCGATACGATTGTGAACAAAGCCTGTTACACATGATATGTTATGGATACCTCCAGCTGTATTCCCTAGACTTTATAATGTCAAATTAAATATAGTAATGTACTGTTTTATTTTTCATAGGGTAGGGGGTCACTCAACTAATGTAAGAAATAACGGATTTAAATAGCTGCCAATACAGCGAGAGTAAGCTACTACAGTATGCTAGACTTTTATTCAATCATGTTGGGGTTTAATTGGAAGTCGTGGATAACAATATTTTATGCAATGGTTTGTAGTTTACTATTAATCTCAATACTCCAAAATCCCAGCAATACCAGTTCACTTACTTCAGTTTCAAATGTTGATACTGTATTTTGTAGCACCATCAAAAATATTTGCTCTTTTCTTTCCTTGTTTACTTTCTAAAAAAATAAATTGTAAGGAAATATTTTATAATGTCCTTTTCTTATTTAGAGTACACATCATGTGGACGTGACGGACGGACGTACACTCTAGGCCTACAGGTCACAATTCTTATGCGATTTTGATGAAACTTGAAATATAGGTTTATCTCCAAAAGATCTCGGATGCATTCAATATTGGCATGTATCGGACCGAAACTTCATGGATTATGGCCCCTGATTGTACGAAAAATCATGTTTTTTTCTTGTGGACCCTATAGAGGTCACAATATTTATCCGATTTTGTTGAAACTTGAAATGTAAGTTTATAACCCAAAGATCTCAGTTCCTTTCGAATATTCTCGCATATCGGATCGTAACTTCCTGAATTATGGCCCATGATTATACGAAAAATCGCGTTTTTAGCGTGCATGTGGACCCTATAGAGGTCATAATTTTTATCTGATTTAGTGTGTAACGGTGATATACTAAAACGTTTTTTTAAATCAGATAAAAATTATGACCTCTAATGGGTCCACAAGCTAAAAACATGATTCAGGAAGTTACGGTTCGATATGGGCGATTATCGAAACGAACCGAGATCTTTGGGTTATAAACTTACATTTCAAGTTTCAACAAAATCGGATAAAAATTGTGACCTCTATAGGGTCCACAACCTTCATATACCATATTTTTACGCTATTTGAGAACGAACGGCGGCCATTTTGTCTGTCAATTTTGGGCCGATTTTCATGAAATTTGAACTCATTCTTCGAAAGGTGGGGTATAAAAAAAAAAACAGCGGCTGCCAGGCAGGATACGCCCACATTTTCGAGAGATGGATAGAGAACAAGCTAAAAAGAAAGTGATTTTTCCTACAATCAAGGGCCATAATTCAGGAAATTACAATTCGATATGCGTAAATATCGAAAGGAATCGAGATCTTTGTGTTATAAACTTACATTTCAAGTTTCAATGAAATCGGATAAAAATTGTGACCTCCATAGGATCCACAACCTGGATACACCATATTTTCGTACAATAAGGGGCCATATTGAAAGGAACCAAATCTTTGGGTTATAAACTTACATTTCAATTGTGACCTCTATAGGGTCCACAAGCTAAAAACGTGATTTTTCATACAAACAGGGGCCATAATCCATGAAGTTTTGATCCGATACATGCCAATATTGAAAGCAGCCGAGATCTTTTGGAGATAAACCTATATTTCAAGTTTCGTCAAAATCGGATAAGAATTGTGACCTGTAGAGTGTCCACAAACAAATTGTGGACGGACGGACGGACAAGGGCGACAACAATATACGTCCACATGAAAATGTGGGCGTAGAAAAATAAATGACATGTTTGAAAACAAATATTGCATTAATTGAGTATGGTAGGTGGAAATACAGCCAAATTGAGGTGCACAGAGCTGACAGGTTCGTCACATGGCAATTCTCAGGAGTCCATACAGCACTGGAATCAGCAGTAAAACATATTTCTCCCATTGTCTTCTAATCGGTCTTCTGTGGCATTATTATCAATTTGATCTGCTAGTGCAAATACAGACGTTATTGTCATTAAAATTAATCGCCATGCATTGTCATTTGTTTACATCTCGTTCTCTTTCTGATTCACTTATTTCACTGGAATCTGACTCATATTCAGAAATTTCATTAATATCAATGTCACTACCACAATCAGATGAACAATTGTCGCCATCAGAAATATTTAACAAGTCAACGCATTACGGTAACGAAGCTTACAGGAGTTTGTGGCAAATGTAATGTTGTTGACAGTCCCCAGCTGTCTGTTTATGTTATCGCTTAGTAACGGTAATACTATAATATCCGGCTTCAAATCAAAACAATATGAGAGTTACCGTTCTTATAAATTAGATCATGTATGTGTTTCACCCATTAGTCCATAAAAATAGAATCATTTCATACAGCCAATGGTGTACATTGTTACTTTAGAGACATACAATAAAACGACATTACCATGTAAAGCACATGTGCTAGAAAACGACATTAATGTTATAATCGCTGTGAAAAGGTTAATGTTAGACATACCTTTAAACTCTGTTTTAATTTGGATATATCCTCTCCTAAATCTACAAGTTTTACTGCCTGTCGGACATTTGTGTAGTTTTTACCATAGATAACAAATCTATCAGGAACCACTTGCTATTTCGAAATATGAACATTAAATTAATTTAAGATAACATTTAGAATAACTTGGACAAGATTACATATTAAAATCATGTCACTGGCATATACTTTAGTTAAGTTCCAAGCTTTAACAATTTAATGAAAATATCAGCTATTCCAAAACATTGTATTATTCTAGTGTATGATGTGCAACTGTGTGTATACAAGAGATCTCACTGTTTGTACATTTTGATCAAAACTAATTAATTCAATTGAACCTACCCTTTTTCTTTCAAGACCAATCCACTTGTACTGATCAACACTCATAATTTCCTCATAACATTCAGTTCCATATTTTCGGCAAATTTGTTTCAATAAAAACTTCCTAAGATAAAAACAAGCCAACAGTGAGGCTAATGTCCCCCGCCGAAACCCCAAAATAAATAGATGACACATATTAATTAATTGCACATTGATTTTTTTCAAAAGTATCGAGTAATCAAACCATACACTAAGTTTCATCACTCTCTATCAGATAGAATCAAAGTTATCTTGTCCCAAAGCATCATCCAATGAACTAAAGTTATCGTGTCCCAAAGTTATCTTGTCCCAAAGCATCATCCAATGAACTAAAGTTATCGTGTCCCAAAGCATCAACCAATCAAATTCATTATCTCTGCTTACCCTAGGCATTGACCAAATAAATTCCTACACCAAGTTTGAACATTCTAGCTCAATTAGAAGGAGAGTTATTGTGTCCCAAAAAGTGTGATGAACAGACAGATAGTTGGACGGACAGACAGACAAATCCATTTTAATAGTCACCTGCTTTCTTCGAAAGGCGGGGAACAATTAAAAGAAGGAACGAAATAAAATGTTTACCAAAATGACTAAATCTTAGTACCGGTTGCAACTGATGCAACTTCACACAGTTTATATTTACCTAAATTGATGATCTAAACAAAGCATCTAAATTTGAGACAGATCGGTTAATCAGTTCACCTCTTACAAGATGCTACAATGTGAGCAAGAGCAATAACTAGTAATTTGTTAAATGGGGGAAGCCTAATAGGCGTCTTCATATCACCAATCAAAACAATGGATATAAATTTTAAGAAGCATGGACAATAAAATTTGTCACACAGAGTTGTCAAATCTACAAAGTAAACAAGGGCGAAATGACTGAAACGCAATTGCCTTATTCATCTCTCTAATGTAAACCAGGCATATAAATCTGAAAAAGATTAGATATTAAATACAGTTTCTAGAGTCTTTGTAAGATTATTGTGGAGAGAGAGACACATCAACAGGTTCCACAGCAACTTAGGACCATATTTCAATTTTTGCTCATAAAAGGATCACATGATAATTATTGAGGCTCCTTAAGTTCATATTGTTTTCCTGCCCAAGTTCAACAGGAACTGACTACACTCTTTACATATAAGATATCTCCCTTATGTTGCAGTTCTCCTGACTTTATGATGAGTAATAAAGAGAGAGAGAGATTGGAATTCTAACACGAAGAATGGTTGTTTTTCGCTCTCACTCAGAAGTTTAGTGTAACGTCTGAGTATTTAAGGATCCGAACATAAGTTTACAATGCGATTTATAATAAAAATAAAATTACTTTGGCCACATCATTGTAGTTTCTATTTTGGTAACATTCTCAATGGCCTTGACCAATCTACGAAATTGTGTTGACATATTCAAGCTTTTCAAAACAAAATATTGATAAAGATATTTTGCTGCTACAACCAGTCCATATCTACAACGAACTAGACTCTCCAGTTGCTCTATCACAGAAAACTCAGCAGTATCTTTTCTTCTGAAATATTCTTCAGCTGTCTCTAAGTTATTTATGGCTACATCTATTTCTTGGTTACACTTGTCTGCAAAGTCATAAGCTTTTTCATAATGAACATCCTAAAAAAAAGAAAACGATAGGATACCATACAGTCTTTCTATTAGAAGTTTTAGTTGTCCAGATTTGGTAAATATCTGATATATTTAAAGTAACAGGGATAGGAATCAAAAATACACAAAATAATTAAAAGCAATAACTCTATATAAATAATTATATTCATAAGCAATTGTTGCAACAGTTATTCATTTCAATATTCAAAAAGGTAGGTTGTCAGGCAACAAAACATACACCCATAGCAGGTAAGTAGCCTGAACAGTCCACAAAGGTTGTCACATATTTATTCTTTTGCAGGTAATTGGAATATCTACAAGAAATCAATCAAGGGTAACATGTAATCATCAGAAATAATCTGAACTTGATTGGCTGCTAGTTTGAGCTGAATATAGACACTGTGTATAAATTTCAAATCCATCAGATAATTACTAAATCAATATCATTGCTTGATAATGGTGAGAATGTCCTCATTGAAACCTTGCAGTTAATAAACCTAGGGAATGTTATCCATAAAGCTGTCTGTTATTAACTATAACAATAATTATCGGTTTCTTCATTTCATGAACATGAACCCTGTACATGAATTTAAAGGCTATCTAAAGATAACTTTAGTCAAGGGATAAAAATTGGATGAAAATAAAAGATGTGTATAAATTTCCAGTGATCAAGCGCCAGGAACTCCAACAGTAATATATCGGAAATTGGTTAAGAACTATTTGAGTCACATTTCCAAGCCCTCTGAAATTTACATGAATTTACCAGGGCTTTGATGAATAGGCATTCAAATTGCACAGAGCTAACTACACTAAATTATCACCCTTAAGACCACAATAGTGTACACTGATCTTGCTGTCTTTCAATAATTCTACCCCTTAAGGACTTTTGTCCCATCTTGGCCCAAAGTCCTATGTATCTAGAACATAAAGACTGTGTATAAATTTTTAGTCAATCGGATGATAAATGTCAAATGTCCATAAGTGACCAATGGCTATAACAATCAATTGTTAATGGACTGACAGACAGGATTGACAGAAATATACAAAACTGTCGCGATGAGATGGAAGTCAACCAGAAAATTGTTGAGAAATAGTGGATACATCATTGGTAATGTCACAGATTGATTTTCTAACAGAATACCCCACGGTGTCACAATTAGTGATGAAAGCCATGTGTACCAAAATATCAACCTGTTATCAAAAGTATACTCGAGTTCGGTGAGAAAAGAAAGGTGTAATTTTAGATTAATAATACATCCATGACTGATGAAAACTATCGAAATCAAAAGCAATTTAAACAAGCCAACAGTGAGGCTGATGTTCTCTGCTGCAATCCCAAAATAAATAGATTACACATATTAATTAAAGATAAATTAATTAAGAGTTTAATAAGAGTTGGCCATTCTTTGTATAATAATTAAAAGATAGGTTGCCAGGCAACGAAACATGTGCCCACAGCAGCTAAATCGTCCCAGCTGTCAACAAGTGTTGTCAAATATTTTTACTTTTTTCGGTAATGAAACATTTATAATACATTAAAATCTGATTAAGAGTAACAACTCATTAAGTAATTATCAGAAAACCATTAGAATTTGTTTGGTTTTTATAAAGTTCGGCCCCATGCTAACGTTTAGAATATGAAACTTTTAATATCATGGATTTAGCTGTTCAAGTCATAAAAATTCATTGAAAATCAATTTACTTGTTCGCCTCAAGATCTTAAACTCTGTGTATCAATCTGAAGTCAATCAGATGTTAACTTTATCCTCTAGAGTTTCACAAGATTTTTTTCAAAGTGATCAAGGGCCATAACTTTGGTAGTAATTATCTGAAATCGTTGAAAATCAACAGGATTCTTCGTCTCATGACCTCAAACACTGTGTATCAATCTAAAGTCAATCGGATATTAACTTTGGCCTCTAGAGCGTCCACAAGATTTTTTGAAGTGATCAAGGGCCATAACCTTGGCAGTAATTATCAGAAATCACTGAAAATCAATGTAATAGGCTTCTTCGTCTCATGACCTTAAACACTGTGTATAAATTTAAAGTTAATCGGATATTAACTTTAACTTTTAGAGCGTCCACAAGCAATTGTGGACGGACAGACAGGGGCGATGACAATATACAACCACATTTCAATGTGGGCGTATAAAAATAGATGATAAAAAAGGAAAATATTGAACATTTCAGTCAAATTACTTTATTCTGAACGGAAGTTTGCACTAGAAATAGGCATCAACTGTCTCCGCACTTTCTACGAGAATTGCCAATCGTTTGATTGGCGAATGATAACTCCACCCACATATTCTCGATTATCAAGTAACATTCTCAATGGCTATGGTACCCTCGCTTGGCAGGCCTTTCATCAGCGGTCTCCGGTAGTGACATTTTCTGATTTAATTCTAAATGGACGACTATTTAAATCCAAACTGTATCCAAGCCATCCGAGGGTCTACAGAGCTGATTTTGAGCTTATGTAAATAAAGGTCTAATTAATAATTTCTATAACATCTGAAGCCTAAATAAAGACTTACAATAGGCAGATTTAGCTCTTCCTTAATGTCAATTAATTGCACATTTATCTTTTTGAAAAGTATCGAGCCAATCTAATTAAGATATAGATCTATGTTTCGTTTGGTTTTTTTTTTTTATACTTTCGATGGCCATGAATACATGAAGATCTTACCAGTTGTTGTTGTGTATTATCTTATTAACACTATCATATAAACAATAAGCATATTATATAACAATGATTCCATGTCCAATGTTTGGACGTAACCACCGCTTCACTGTGTATGAATACGAGAGTTTGAGAATATAACACGTGTGACGTAAACTCTATCATTGTCTTGTCGTTCTTTTATGTTTGTTATGTTGTCAATACATAACATATTGGCGACGAGGATGGTGGTTAGTCAGTAAGTACAGCCTAAATACACCCACCGATGTTGTAATTACAACAAGTCCTGAATTTTCGACAAATTACCCGTTCTTTGTGTGTGTGCAGTCAGCTGGACAAATAGGAAATATAGAGAACTTTAATGAGAATTTAGAAACATGGGAATCGTATTCCGAGAGGTTGGAACAATATTTAGTAGTAAACCGGGTACCAGACGAACGAAAAGTATCGGCACTCATTTCTTCGGTAGGTCCGACAACATACTCGCTACTGAGAGATTTGACATGTCCAGAAAAGCCAAGTACTAAAACTTACAATGAACTAGTAAGACTTCTTAGAAATCATCATTCACCTCCCCCAAATCTTATAACAGAAAGATGTCGTTTTCACTCAAGATTTCAAGAGGAGGGAGAGAGTGTATTAGAGTTTGTTGCTGCCTTGAGAAAGTTATCGGAACATTGTAATTTTGGAGAAACCTTAAGTGAGACCATAAGGGATAGACTTGTATGTGGCCTACGTAATACACACATTCAAAAAAGATTATTGTCACACAGTGATCCAGATTTAACTTTAAATCGAACAATTGAAATTAGTGTTGCCATGGAAACTGCCGGTAAAGACACTCTTGAGTTGCAAGCTAGATATGGAAGACCAGTTAAACAACCAGAGGAGTCTAATCAAGTAAATCGGTTTAATCAATCCGATACTAGACGGAGGCATAATAATCGCTCTACTACTAGTCAGAGTTTGCAGAGCAGACGTCAATCAGATGGTCAAAGAGAAACTCAGAAGCCCTGTTCTAGATGTCTAGGTATTAACCACAGTCAGGAAAATTGTCCTTACCTGGATACTAAATGTCTAAAGTGTCATAAGAAGGGTCACTTAGCCCGGGCTTGTCGAACAGGAAAATCGTCCAAGTACAGATTTAAAAATCACAGAAGAATGAACAATTTAGGGGAAGATAATTCTGACAGCGACTATATATCAAAGTTTGAAATATATACAGTGAAGAAAACTGTTGATGATATAATATGGATGAAGCCTAAAGTAAATGATATCCAGTTACCAATGGAACTAGATACAGGCTCAGCTGTTTCGGTCATGCCTAAGAGACAATTTGAAGAAACATTTCCTTCTGTGAAATTGGAAAACGTCGACATCAGTTTTAAAACTTATTCCGGTGAGAAAATTATTCCACTTGGAGTGGCGAAGGTTACCGTCAACTATGATGATCAGTGTTTTGACAATATGAATTTGTATGTCGTACCAAAAGGTAGCTCCCCATTGTTAGGACGCGAATGGTTAAGAAAACTTACCGTAGATTGGTCAAAACTTAGTTTACCTCTTAAAAAAATCCATACTGTGGAAACTGATAAAAAGAAGGTATCAGAAGAAATTAAAGCTATGACAGAAAAATACAAAGATATTTTTGATGACAGAACTGGAACAGTTAAAGGTATTAAAGCCAAGTTAACACTGAAGGAAGGATCGACACCAGTGTTTTGTAAAGCTAGGACTGTTGCCTTTGCCTTAAAACCAAAAGTTGATGCTGAATTAGATAGACTTGAAGCGGAGGGTACAATTACTAAAGTTTCACATAGTAATTGGGCTACACCCATAGTCCCTGTATTGAAGAAATCGGGCCAGGTTCGAATTTGTGGAGATTTTCTTATTACCGTTAATCCATGCTTGCAGATAGATGAATATCCTCTCCCAAACATCGATCACATATTTGCGAATCTAGGTGAGGGACAACACTTTTCAAAAATTGACCTCCGACAGGCATATCTACACTTAGAAGTTGACGAGGACTCTAAAGAGTACATAACCATCAACACACAAAAAGGACTGTATCGATACAACAAGTTAGCGTTTGGTATCGCGTCAGCACCTGCGATATGGCAGAGAACCATAGAGCAGGTTTTACTAGGCTTACCAGGAGTTCAATGTTTGCTAGACGACATGATTATTACAGGTAAAACAGATCAAGAACATTTAGCAAATTTAGAAGGTGTTTTAAAGAGACTAAGTGAATATGGGTTAAAAATCAATTTAAAGAAATGTGATTTTTTTAAAGATAGTATCACATTTTGTGGACATATTGTTGATAAACATGGACTTCATAAACAACCAGATAAAATCGAGGCCATGATAAATGCTCCAAGACCAAAGGATGTTCCGCAATTAAGAGCATTTTTAGGACTAGTAAATTACTATCGCAAGTTTTTGCCTGATTTAGCTACAATTTTGTCCCCACTTTTCCAGTTACTCAAGAAGGACAATTATTTTAAATGGACTAAATCTTGCCAAGTCTCATTTAATAGAATTAAGGAACTTGTAAGTTCAGAATGTGTTTTGACTCATTATGATCCTAAAAAGGAAATCAAGTTAGCCTGCGATGCTAGTTCCTATGGATTAGGAGCTGTAATATCTCATGTGATGTCTGACGGAAAAGAGCGACCCATCGCTTTCGCTTCAAGAACTCTAACAAAGGCAGAGACAAATTATTCTCATATTGATAAAGAAGCTTTGGGAATTATTTGGGGTATAAAGAAATTTCATTCGTACCTCTATGGTAGATCATTCACCTTAGTGACTGATAACCAACCTCTATCATATATTTTCAATCCCAAAAAGGGAATCTCAGTAACTGCATCAGCACGTCTGCAGAGATATGCGATTATTCTTGCTGGTTACGATTACAAAATTGAATTTAGAAAGACGTCTAAACACGCCAATGCTGATTCATTATCACGTCTTCCATTAAAGGTAGAAGAGGAGACAGTTAGTACTGATATGGGTATAAATGCTTTAAATACAGCTCAAGTTGATTCGTTACCAGTTACTACATCTTCAGTACAACAGGAAACCAGAAGAGATCCTGTGATATCAACTGTTGTCCAGTACACCAATTATGGATGGCCGACCGAGAAATTTAATCAAGAACTAAATGCGTTCTATACAAGGAGACATGAGTTAACGGTTCATCAGGAATGTCTAATGTGGGGTCTCAGAGTAGTAATTCCCGCGAAATTACGTCAAGATGTTCTCGATCAAGTTCATGAAGGACACGTAGGTGTTGTGAAAATGAAGATGTTAGCCAGAAGTTATATTTGGTGGCCTGGTATTGATGGTGATATAGAAACATTAGCAAAACAATGTACTGGATGCCAGCAATCTCAACACATGCCAAAGTCAGCGCCTATTCACCCATGGGAATGGCCTTCCAAACCTTGGGAGAGGATTCATATCGATTTTGCAGGACCGTTTTTAGGATACATGTTTTTGATTATCGTCGACTCTCACTCAAAATGGCCTGAGGTAATCAAAATGACTACTGGGAATACATCTGCATCAAGCACTGTGGAAGTTTTAAGAACTGTGTTTGCAAGAAATGGATTGCCTTCCAGAATTGTCAGTGACAATGGGCCTCAATTCATTGCATCTGAGTTTGAACTATTTTGTAAATCAAATGGAATTAAGCACATCCGTTGTTCTCCGTATCACCCAGCCAGTAATGGATTGGCTGAGCGTTTTGTTCAATCATTCAAGCAAGCCATGTATTCTAGCAGACCAGAAAAAGGAACTATCCAGAAAAAGTTATCCAAGTTTCTATTGGCTTATAGGAACACACCACATTGTACAACCAACACTTCACCAACTAAATTGTTTATGGGACGAGAGCTCAGAACAAAATTACAACTGATTAAACCGGACTTGTCTGCCTATGTCAAGTCTAAACAAGAAGATATGTGTAGATATCGTAAAAATCCACATCGTAGTTTTGAAAACGGTCAACATGTAGCAGTACGTGACTACAGAGGTTCCAACAAATGGGTACCCGGTGTAATTCGTAATCGCACTGGTCCGGTATCTTATCAAGTTGAAACAAATGAAAATGTTATCTGGAGACGTCATACAGATCAAATTCGAGATGCTAAGTTCAATGTTCCTCCTGATGAAAACATTCCATTAGATCCAGATTATATTCCAGATCCACCAGCGCATATTGCACCCCCAAATCAACTTGCAACATCTCCAGGAACATCGCGACAGACCACACCGATAAAACCCAAAAGTCCGCCCGCTCATCGTTATCCTGCAAGAACACGTTACAAACCAGCTAAATTTGATGATTATATCTGTGACTCTAAATAAACTGTGTTCTAAATTAAGGAGGGAGAAAGTGTTGTGTATTATCTTATTAACACTATCATATAAACAAAAAGCATATTATATAACAATGATTCCATGTCCAATGTTTGGACGTAACCACCGCTTCACTGTGTATGAATACGAGAGTTTGAGAATATAACACGTGTGACGTAAACTCTATCATTGTCTTGTCGTTCTTTTATGTTTGTTATGTTGTCAATACATAACAGTTGTAGTGGAAGGCCGCATCAGGGTTCATCCGAGCGGTTTTGACCCTATGACGGCAGACATTTGATTAACCAATCAGTGTTGATGTTTCTAGTGGGATACCCACAGTTCTGTGCACCGCTTGCCAAAAACTCGCCGTAACAGACTGTTTCATTGGCTAATCCCTCACATCAACCAGAACGCATGTTATATAACAATCTTCTAGATCCTAGTGTAGTTAGAATTAAAGGTATCTTGTCCCAAAGCATCTGCCAATGAAATTGCTTATTAGCCCTGCTTGGCTGTAACGGAAAATGTTAATCATTGAACTCTATCAAGAGATTCACCTAATTAAAATCTACACCAAGTTTAAACATTCTACCACAATTCAAAGCAGAGTTGTTATGTTCCGAAGTCTTGACCAATCAAATTGCTTATCGCTTAGCCTAAGCAGAAAATTCTCATTATCAAACTTAGTCAAGGTATTGATATAATGAATCTATACTTGGAGTTTCATCTTTCTCACCCAATTAGAACCAGAGTTATTTTGCTCCAAAGTCTGAACCAATCAAATTGCTTATCTCTGCATAGTCTTTGTGGAAAATGCTCATGATTGAAAAGTATCTAAGCATTTACCTAATAAACACCTACACCTAGTGTAAACATTCTACCTCAATTAAAAGGAGAGTTATTGTGCTCCAAAGTCTCAACCAATCAGATTGAAGTCTTTACTTAGCCTAAGTAGAAACTGTGCATCATTGAACTTAGTCAAGGTTCAAGGTATTGATGTAATGAAACTATACTCAATTAGAATCAAAGTGCCCCAAGGCATCAACCTATCAAATTGTTTATCTCTGCTTAGCCTAAGCAGAAAATGTTCATCTTGGAACTCCATCAAGGCATTCAACTAATAATAAACACTTACACCAAGCTTGAACATTTCAGCTCAGTTTGAAGGAGATTTATTGTGTCTCAAAAAGTGTGACGAACAAATGGACGTACAGACCCATTTTAATAGTCCTCAGCTTTCTTCAAAAGGTGGGGAACAATTAGATGATTCTTTGTGGAATTGTAAAGTTCTTGAAACAATTCACTCCATAGTTTGGAGATTTTTTTAAATAAGTGAATATTATACTTCCCCGAAAAGACAGTTAATGTTCATCCCCACATATGAAATTTGCTTAAAATCAATTCAGTGGACATAAGTTAAATGTTTACACTGAATAGACAAACAGATGGAGAACACAAGTCCATTGAAGTGAAAATCTAAATAGTTGTATTTTACATGAATATTAAATGGATGGACAGATGAACAGACATGGTGACAATATTTTACCACATAAATTACTCACCTCCAGGCAATATGAAACTAAAGCACTAAATTCTATCAGAGCAGATTCATTAACTCTTTCTGTTCTTCTTCTAGTTTGATCAATTAATTCTTTAGAGTTCTTGAAAAAGTCATCTAGATAAATTGATGTGTATTCAGCACTAAGGATAAAAATACCAAATTCATTATGATTTTCATGTACCTTATCAGTGAAACACATATTAACATAGATTGGCAAGCAATGTAACCAATAGCCTCCAGCAGAAAAGAGTACAATGTGGCAATAACTCTGGAAGTACTTTTATAAAAACACTCAAATATTGATGTGAATTATCTATATTTCAATATGCCGGTAATTATTCACTTTATAACTATTCCAGAAAATATCACAAAAATAACACAAGAAAATTACTCTGTATGTGTTGACGGACGGAACATCTTTTATTTGTCTTATTTAAGAATGCAAATTCAATGTTACCTTTTACGAGTAAGCAGTTTCAGCAAAAAAAATCTGCATATTGGAGTTGGGTCAATTTCATGATTAAATAGACTCATTGGTTTAGTTAGTAAGAGTTGTTGAGCATTTAATCCTCTAGTTGTTGTTTTAACTGTGATATATTCCATCAACCTGTGTACAACATTATCATCTGGTGTAGTATTGGAAATAAAACACAGTTTAGATACCAATGACATCAAAAATGAGTCACAACTTTTCTGAAAGTTCTTTAATTTTTTCAAGCTTTCCCTGAAATGTATATACAATCTTGATGATTTGTATGGGTAAAGAATCAAACTTTAGCTGCAAACCACATGCAGACAAGAATCATTATTGAACATTTGATGTTAAAGGGGCATTATGGGAGATTAGATAAAGAGTTGACAGTTCTTGCTATATTAGTTTAAAAATGGATAATGTAAATAGAATACGCAGAAAATTTCGACCAAATTGCTCCACTTTGAACCCAGATATTCAAGTTTGAATTTTGGGCTAGCCTCGATCATCATTACTAAAGTCAGTACGATAAAAAAAGACGGGACGATTTACCCAATACTACCCAATACCACACAATACCACCTCCACATCACCAAATACTACCCCATACTACAACATAATGATGCAAAATGGACATATCATTTGAAAACAGAGTTATATTGCGGGAAATGTACTTCAAATGTGATACCAATGTCTGGCTGTTCCATTTGCCTCCCTATATCACCCAAAACAAGCAAATAATAACCCAATACTACCAAATACTTATCAAAGACTACTCAATATTATCAAATAGCAATCTTATATGTATAGGATATTAACCTATCCGAGGTTGATATGATAGAGAACGCGCGGGCGAAGCCCAAGCGTTCTCTACCATATCAATCCGAGGGAGAGTAGGTTTATATCCGACATATACAACGCCATTTCACCCTTAAATTTAATGGGCTCTTCCATTAAAAGGCAACAACGATTGGATAATTGCTCGATAGTTTCTGCCAAATAGCGAAAATTACCGAAGTAATCACGTGCAATTACGTGCATGTTTTTGTTTATACGTCGCCATTCTGGACTATTGAATTGAAAGCAAAAACAAAATGGATAGTAATATGAAGTCAGACGAATAATCAATCCTTTTTAGCCAACATATTGACGATGGAATAGGTGTGAATGCAAATATTGACGAGGATCTATCCAAAGCCTGCAGAAAATTTGGACCAAAAGGCATTTCAAGAATTCTGACAGTGAACCATGATTGAAGGTTTTCGGTATGTTCAGAGAAGGATTTGACCGACTGTTTTAAGTGGACTGTACCCAAAAATACTTTACAAAGGAACTCTTGGGCGATAAATACTTTCAAGTCTTGTAGTGTGTTGAGAAATAATCGCAATGTGGACGAAAAGAAAATTCTGAAAGATGTCTTACACATGGATAACCGATCTAAATACATGTATGTCGATAAGTACGCCGTCTATTTCGGTCCTGAATGTTAGAAACTGTACCATAACAAATTTTAATTGTCAAAAGAATACAAATTTATTTCTGTGTTTTTTGTATTATTTCGATCATCTACGTCATCAGCGGTTGATATGAGTCGAATATATTGACCTGAGATGACGTCATCAGCGGTTGATATGAACGAATATATCAACCTACTAGCAGGATACCCGGCTTCGCTCGGGGGTCATAACTCCGGAAGTGGTAGACTAACGCCACCTGGCCTATGTTACTCCCCGGTCCAAGCTACCACTATACCACTATACCCCAAATTTCAGACTCGGGGCAGATGTAGCCGCCAACCCCAAACAGACAGACTTCGCTCCGGGGTCATAACTCCGAAACCGGAAGTGGTAGACTAACGCCACCTGGCCTATGTTACTCCCTGGTCCAAGCTACCCCTATACCCCAAATTTCAGACTCGGGGCAGACCTAGTGTAGCCGCCAACCCCGAACAGACCGGCTTCGCTTGGGGGTCATAACTCCAAAACTGGAAGTGGTAGACTAACGCCACCTGGCCTATGATACACCCCGATCCGAGCTACCCCTGAACCCCAAATTTCAGACTCGGGGCAGACCTAGTGTAGCCGCCAACCCCGAACAGACAGACAAACGACAGACAAACGACAGTCACAAATATTAGTATAGATGATGATGTCATGACAGGTTGTTATGAGATATAACTGCTATGGACATCAAAGTAAAAACTATCGCCAGTTGTATATTGTCAAATAACTGCACATTAGTATAATTACTGCAACGAATATTCAATAATTTGCAGAAAATTCGGATTTGTATGCAGTTATCTCCCTTTTCAACCAATAAATAAATTTTAGATTGCTATTTAGATTAATCATCTTCTTTGGCTTTGCAGTTGGTTTCCAAGATGACAAACTATTTTAACCACTCCATAGGCATCATCAGGCGGTGGCTATAAAAAAAGTTATTACAGGTCAGATGTTCCATGATATAGTTATTATTTTCATTGAATTAACATGAGGCCATATTATTCAATATTACACTTTAAAAGCACAATTTTATCAACACATACACAAGAATAGACAAATATTACACGTTATATATATAAGCATATCAATCTATAAAATAAAATATAAGAGTTTCAAAAGAAGTTAAAAAAAAAAAAATAGATCTAAAAAATGCATGGATAGAGAACAAGCTAAAAAGAAAGTGATTTTTCCTGCAATCAAGAGCCATAATTCAGGAAATTACAATTCGATATCGAAAGAAACCGAGATCTTTGTGTTATTAACTTACATTTCAAGTTTCAACAAAATCGGATAAAAATTGTGACCTCTATAGGGTCCACAACCTTGATATACCCTATTTTTACGCTATATGAGAACGAACAGCGGCCATTTTGTCTGTCAATTTTGGGCCGATTTACATGAAATTCGAGCTCAGCCATCCTTAGGGTGTAACAGTGATATAATAATACGTTTTTTTAAATCAGATAAAAATTATGACCTCTATAGGGTCCACAAGCTAAAAACGTGATTTTTCGTACAATCAGGGACCATAATTCAGGAAGTTACGGTTCGATATGCACGAATATCGAAAGGAACTGAGATCTTTGGGTTATAAACTTACATTTCAAGTTTCAACAAAATCGGATAAAAATTGTGACCTCTATAGGGTCCACAACCTTGATATACCATATTTTTACGCTATTTGAGAACGATGGGCGTCCATTTTGTCTGCCAATTTTGGGACGATTTACACGAAATTCAAACTCAGCCATCTTTAGGGTGTAATGGTGATATAATAATACGTTTTTTTAAATCGGATAAAAATTATGACCTCTATAGGGTCCACAAGCTAAAAACGTGATTTTTCGCACAATCAGGGGCCATTATTCAGGAAGTTACGGTCCGATATGCGCCAATATCGAAAGGAACCGAGATAGTTGGGATATAAACTTACATTTCAAGTTTCAACAAAATCGGATAAAAATTGTGACCTCTATAGGGTCCACAACCTTGATATACCCTATTTTTACGCTATTTGAGAATGAACGGTGGCCATTTTGTCTGTCAATTTGGGCCGATTTCACGAAATTCGAACTCAGTCGTCCTTAGGGTGTATCGGTGATATAACAATACGTTTTTTTTAATCAGATAAAAATTATGACTTCTATAGGGTCCACAAGCTAAAAACGCGATTTTTCATACAATCAGGGGCCATAATTCAGGAGGTTATGGTCCGATATGCGCAAATATTGAAAGGAACCGAGATCTTTGGGTCATAAACTTACATTTCAAGTTTCAACAAAATCGGATGAAAATTGTGACCTCTATAGGGTCACCAACCTTGATATACCATATTTTTATGCTATTGGAGAACGAAGGGCATCCATTTTGTCTGTCAATTTTGGGACGATTTACACAAAATTCGAACTCAGCCATCTTTAGGGTGTAATGGTGATATAATAATACGTTTTTTAAATCGGATAAAAATTATGACCTCTATAGGGTCCACAAGCTAAAAACGCAATTTTTCGTACAATCAGGGGCCATAATTCAGGAAGTTGCGGTCCAATATGCATGAATATCGTAAGGAAACGAGATCGTTGGGTTATAAAATTACATTTCTAGTTTCAACAAAATCGGATAAAAATTGTGACCTCTATAGGGTCCACAACCTTGATATACCATATTTTTACGCTAATTGAGAACGAACGGCGGCCATTTTGTCTGTCAATTTAGGGACAATTTTCACGAAATTCGAACTCAGTCATCCTTGGGTGTATTGGTGATAAAATAATACGGTTTTTTAAATCGGATAAAAATTATGACTTCTATAGGGTCCACAAGCTAAAAACACGATTTTTCATACAATCAGGGGCCATAATTCAGGAAGTGACGGTCCGATATGCGCAAGTATCGAAAGGAACTGAGATCATTGGGTTATAAACTTACATTTCAAGTTTCAACAAAATCGGATAAAAATTGTGACCTCTATAGGGTCCACAACCTTGATATACCATATTTTTACGCTATTTGAGAACGAACGGTGGCCATTTTGTCTGTTAATTTTGAGACAATTTTCACGAAATTCGAACTCAGTCGTCCTTAGGGTGTATCGGTGATATAATAATACGTTTTTTTTAAATCGGATAAAAATTATGACTTCTATAGGGTCCACAAGCTAAAAACGCGATTTTTCATACAATCAGGGGCCATAATTCAGGAAGTTACGGTCCGATATGCGCAAGTATCGAAAGGAACTGAGATCTTTGGGTTATTAACTTACATTTCAAGTTTCAACAAAATCGGATAAAAATTGTGACCTCTATAGGGTCCACAACCTTGATATACCCTATTTTTAAGCTATTTGAGAACGAACGGCGGCCATTTTGTCTGTCAATTTTGGGCCGATTTTCACAACTTCGAACTCAGTCGTCCTTAGGGTGTAACGGTGATATAATAGTACGGTTTTTTAAATCGGATAAAAATTATGACTTCTATTGGGTCCACAAGCTAAAAACACGATTTTTCATACAATCAGGGGCCATAATTCAGGAAGTTACGGTCTGATATGCGTGAATATCTAAAGAAACCGAGATCTTTGGGTTATAAACTTACATTTCAAGTTTCAACAAAATCGGATAAAAATTGTGACCTCTATTGGGTCCACAAGCTAAAAACGTGATTTTTCGTACAAACAGGGGCCATAATCCATGAAGTTTCAATCCGATACATGCCAATATCGAAAGCAGCCAAGATCTTTTGGAGATAAAC